ATGTAAATCTTTCGATAAATAACGTGCCAAGTCATCAGGGAATACTATCTTTGTCGCTGTGTACGATTTACAGCAGTGTGTCGCTACACCATACTTAAATAACAGTGTAGCATTTTACAAAAGGAAGCTATGGACTTTTAATTTCGCAGTCAGAAATTGTAACACTGGGAAAACTACTTGTTTCATGTGGCATGAAGCTATCGCGAAACGTGGTGCTGACGAAATAACACCTTGCCTAAAAATGTTCATAATGAGTTTTCCCGAAGAAACAGAACACGTTATTATTTATTCAGACACATGTCCCGGGCAAACCCGCAACAACACATTATCTGTTGTATGTAAATACATACTTACGCAGAAAGTTGGTTTGAAGACTATAGATCATAAATTTCTAGTTCCTGGTCACACACATTTAGAGTGTGATGCTGACCATGCCTCAATCGAGCGAGCCAAGAAGAAATATAATGGAAGAATTTCAATTCCAAATGACTGGTACATGCTTGTGAGAATGGTCAACAGTAAGTTCACTGTGACAGAATTGTCACAAGACGACATTTTTGCATTTTCGAGCATTTTAAAGTAGTCGCTTATAAAGGAGACCAAAGATCAGAATAACGAACCTTTCCTTTGACGTAATATATTTTGGATACGTTTCGAGAAAGAACATCCTTGTATTCACTGCGAGTGGAAGACGAGTTTAAAATATGTGACATGAAGAGGAAAGCCAGAGTCAGTCGAAACAATCTGCCAATAATGGATGTTCGTAAGGCGTACAAACAGCCATTATTAATAATAAGTAAAGAAAAACATAAGAATATTTTATCTTTATTACAGTATATTGATCCTGTGTACCATGATTTCTATAAGAAGGTAATAAAGTCTGACAACGACGTAGTAGACACATCACATATTAGTGATTATAATTCCGATTCTGAATAGAAATTATTCTATTATTAAGTCTATTATCTTATTTTTTTAATGCTGCTTCGAGCGCAATGTTATATGCCAAATATTCTGGTCATTTTAAATTTAAATAAAGTATTTTTCTCATATTTGTCTTTCACTTAAGATCATAACAAGATAACTAGGTATCTACTTCTTTTGATCACATTGTGACAAGTGCAACCATTCTTTAAAAAATAAAACAATACGTGAATACTACGCATTCCACAATGAACTTTAAGTATTTTTACAAATTAGTAACACATTTCCTTTATTTAAAAATTTTTTTTTCATATATCGAGTGTTTCATATTTGAATAGTGCCTTCAGTATTTCTTAATAATTTAATTGCTTGTCCCGTAAAGTAATGAAATTGCATTTATCATATTCTGACCTATGGCCACAGACATTCATACTTTAATATAATATTCGTTAATTTTTAATAACCACAAACTTAAACAAAATTCATGTTAGTACGTATTGCATTTCAACCCAAAGTAAACTTTCTCGTTTTTAATAATAATAACTAATTTATAAATTCTGCAATATATTCAGGAAATCCGACATTAATTTCGTTATTGAGTAGACGTAATTGCATATCCCTGATAAATTCGTCTCTTTTAGTGTACAATCGTTGCAATCTTTTTCTAAGTTTCTTTGTTACAACAGATGTGTTTTTTTTTGCAAGCCATCCAAAAACTTTACTAAATTTGGATTTGGTGTTTAACTTCATTTGAAATAGTTTTATGCCAGTCTAAAGAATTTTTAGTTCTGTGGGGCACTCCGAATGAATTCCCAAGAACCACATAATTTTCGTCCTTGAGCCACGTATTTTCATAGTATGTCACAAATGCCATCATATTATCATCATTATTTCGAAAACATTTAACAAACAGCCATCATGTTTCTATAAACGACTGTACACAGGCGAGGGAGAAAATCGAAAGAAAAATAATATACGAATTCTGATTAACCAACTAGGGTGGATAAACGAACACGCGTTTCCGAGTATCCATCCTAAGGTGGATTTTTTAGGGTGGATAAACGGAATAACCCTTTGCTTCTGGTATACATACAGGGTTATTTCGCAATAATCGGTCAAATTTGCAGAGAAGGTTCAGGATAAGTAATATAGGCAAATGGTGAAGAATAATTAATTAAAAAAGATCTCAAACATTCTGTCCTTTTTATCTTTTAAATTCATCATTCTGCACGCAGTAAGCTCTTTTCTTGAAGATCCCTAAATCATATCGATCCGGAAAAATCGCTGGTGGTAAACGATTCCACAGAGGGGTCGTACGAGGAAGAAAACTTCTAGTAAAACGTACAGTGGTGGACCGCCAAGCATCCAGATGGTGTCGATGGTATGGTGCGTTTTGTGGCGATGTGCGTTCGTGAAATTTTTCGGCTGGAATTAATCCGAACAATTCCTCAGAGCACTCCCCGTGGTAGATGCGATAGAAAATGCAAAGAGATGCAATATCTCCGGCTGACGGCTCTGTGCGCAGTGGCTTAGCTTAGGTTACAGCGCTAAGGGCCTCGGGTTTGTATCCCGCACGGAACAAGTATTTGTATGGCGTCCAAGTAATTGTTCCCGATTCTGATGTTTATTTTTTGTGAAATATATGTTTGTGAACTGCTTCTACGATACAGGTGGAAATCCCGCAGCGCCTGTGCTCTGCGCTGGATTCATTCAAACGGAAGAAGTTGGTATTGGGGAGCTCCGGCTCAGAGATGAGAACAGGCGACGTACCAGCATAAAATACTGTCCCACTCTGCTGAGCACGCCAAGCTTTTTGGAGGCCAATTTGCCCTTCTCTTCTAGGTGACCACAAAACTGCACATTCCTTCGATATGTCGCCGAGGATTCCAATACTGGCTGAGGCATCAAAGAGAGTACCTTGAAACTGAGGAGATACGACAAAGGGGTTCTTTGAGCGATTAACGCGCAAACTTTTGTCTTCTGGGGATCGAATTGGACTTTACTTAGTCGCCCCAAATCCGAGACTTTGTTCAACAATGTCTCGACTTCAGACATAAGTTTGTTCCGGTACTCGGCGACGTTTTCCTAAGAAATATTAGCACGGCCGGTGCATAAAGCATCACCAGTGCTGTTGTCCGTACAGCAATGAATCTTATCAGTTTGCAACATATCATTAATATGCAGAAGAAACAGCATTGGTGACAGCAAGCAGTTTTGTGGAACATCAGGGTTAATAGGCTTGCAATTGAAGCATGCACTGTCTACTATGACCTCGATGCTCCGATCAGATAAATAATTGGTGATTGCAATAGCACAATTTCTTGGGAAGCCCATAGGAAAGAAGCTTCGAGAGAAGCGCGTTGTACCACACCCGATCGTAGGCCTTCGTTATTTCCAAACTAACCGCCAAAGCCTCCTCTTGAACTGTCCTCTGTACTGATACTGAGCACTGTGTGAATCGCACATCATGCATAGAGCACTCTCACCGCGAGATCGAATTTGACGCAAAGATCTAAAAAATCGGCTTTCTCTTTTGCAGTGTGGTCCAGTTAGTCGTCCCTCCATGTGCGTAGATGGTAGTGATGACTTACAGAAATTCCTTTGGACAGCCTTGGCAAGAGACCAGAATTCGCGGGTTCCCGAAGGAAAGTGAACTAATTTCTCGGCAATTCTGCCAATGTGCTCACACTTTGCCTTGGCAATAACACTTTTGAAGGACCCGGAGGCGAAGTTATACTTCTTTTTAAGCTTACGGGTGTTTATATCCAGAGCCGCCGAAGCGTAAGCCCGGGCCTGATAACACCCTGCTTACTGCGTAATGCAGTATTTCAGGAGTGATCACACCAAGGTTGAGATCAACCTCTGATGGGTACCACAGATGATGAAATAAATAGTTCCATTCCCTGTAGCACTACAGTCAGCAGAAGCAACAGCGCTGGGATCATGCAGCGAGTCCTAATCCGACGACCTATAATGACAAATACGATGACAGCGTGCAGAACGCAACCGCGAAGGGAGCGTGAGTGGCTCTACACTCCGGATCAGACAATGTCCGAGGAGTCCGAGGAACCAAGAGGCGCATCGACGTAGACTTGATATCCGTCCGGATGAGAGGTCAGCAGAAGATCCAACAGGGAAGGTGCATGATTCTCCACATCTGGAATCCGAGGAGGCAAAGTAACCAGTTGTGTCAGACCATATGCCAAAGCAAAGTCATAAACAGATCTCCCCGCATGATCGGTTAGACGTGAACTGAGCCATTTGGCGTAATGGGCGTTAATATCGCCAAAATCTAAAGATTGTGATCTCTGCGAATGGATCTGCTACAGCAAGAAATCTGTAGCTATTTGGACGTGGTCGATAAGTCGGTCTGTTTCACCATTAACGCTATGGGACCTATAGAGGCACCTGTAAACGCGTGGATGGTCATCGCTGTCTACGCGTAGTCAAAGAATGGAGAGATCCAAATCTTATATACTGCCGAGACGTCGAGAACAGATGTCCTCTCCAGCCAGAGGAACAAAGGAGTGTTTCAATTTTACCCGGGTAGGAGAGATCCGAAGTATCAGCCGAAGAGGATACTTGCTTCTCGGTCAGAAAAAGCAAGGCCAGCTTCGCCGTCTTTAGATGGTAGTGGTCAGCGTTAAGGTTCAAATGAAGCCCCTTGATGTTGTAGAAATCTAAGGATAACGTGTCAAGGGTCACCTTAGTCTTTTAGCTAAGTTTTCCCCGAGCAGTTTTTGTCTTGAGCGGGATTTTTGGCCCATACGTGCAACCAGCAAAAGCTGCCGCGCGGCTGTACCACTGTGAAAACAATAATTATTTTTAATTTCTTGATGTCCACATAATAAAGTAATTGTTATCAGAGCCTACTTTCCTAAATAAATAAACCTATCCCTATCTTTCATTTAGTTAAAAAAATATAAGCTGTTTCTGACACAATATGTCAGAAATTTCTTCGGTGTTAAAAGCGATAGTGGTTACAAAATTGACTTTTTTCTTACCTTAATTAGCGAATAAAACTTAATAAAAATACATAAATTACCAAGAAATATGATTATTGTTGTAGAGTGAGTTTAATGTCTGTCCTGTTCTAATGGCTGCGGTGGTAAGGGCGGTGGAGGCGGTGGAGGTATCGCTAAGTTGTTGTTGGCCTGATGCTCCATCAAGCCGAGCTGCTCCAACATATCATCATTGTCCTCCATTAAATGCACCTTGCATAAACAAAATAATAATTAAAACCATTGCAAACGCAAGGCATTGAGATATTAATAAATGAAACGATGCCTATTCAGTCACTATAGCTCGAGGCCGCAAGCCCTGAGTCCGATGAATCTAGCCGACCAACTGACTAACAGCACTAACATCACAAAAAATGAACAACGCAATTTGAGTTTCAGATTAAATTAAAGCCAAAGTTCAATTGGTTTATTAAACAAAGGTAAAAATAGAGAAAATTTGTCTATAAAAATATAATTTAGTGTTATTTTGGAGTGAAATACAACAACTAAACAAAAAAAAAATACGAATCATAGCTAATATACAAAACACAGAAAGCTGTAAGCCTTACTTTAAGAAGTATAACATTTTAAGCCTGCCCTGTATCTATATTTTAGAATTATGGTCAAATTGGTCAAAAAAAATCCAAGCTTGTACACAAAACGCGATGACATCATATCTAGAAACCTAAGACAGAGACGCAAACTAGTGCCACCAACTTCAAAACTAAAATCTCGTTCTTCCAGCCCATTTGCCATGTCTATAAAAGTATATAATTAATTACCCTAATATATAAAAAACATTAAAGCCGAAAAACCATTTGTAAAAAAATTAAAGCAACTACTTACTTATAAACAAGTGTTACTATAGTACTTCTGCATTTTTAGAAGATAAAAATATAATATAATATAGATATGTAAATATAAATATGTTAGGTAATAATGAAATGCCATCCTACTAACTAAATTACAATAAAAAATTCTAATAAAATTTAAATTGATTCAAATAATTTAATAAAAATTCAACTGTGCTAATTATACTATCTAAAATAATAAATTAAATGTCAAAATCAATTAATAAATAATAACAATTATAATAGCCGTATTCCAAATTGAATGTGTGTATGTTTATATAATATAATGAATGTTAATTTTAAATAATTATTTAACAATACTAATAATAAAACAAAATAAATGTTCCTCCTTCATAATATTGCTGTGCCCATCAGGGTCTATAGAGATACCATAAAACTATGTAACAACCTTTGTAATCTATGGAAAGCAATAAAGTTATTGAGTATTGAAGTAAGCTGAAGTGACAACGGGCCGACCATATAGCTCGAAAAACCGATAAGAAAGAAAGAAAGACCGAGAACTAATAAGAAAGTAATTTTCTCAAACGGCGGTCTCCTACCTATATTATACTATCATGTTCTATGCACGTAGATTTTTCCTCAGAATTCTGAAACATGGGTACTCTCATTACGTTTAGTTATTTTTCTCAAGAGCTTCTAGAAATCAGTTACGGATCTAGAAGAGCAAAGTGACAACGAGTATGCTCTTAAGTCGAAAGCGCATGGATTAAAAAAAATTCAACTGTCAAAAGGTATCAAAAGTTAAGTGTTTTAATTAGAATAACGATATACTTCAACTGATAATAAAAATTTAGAAAACTACTAATTTATCATAATCAATTAACTTACATCTGGTAACGGAGTGCGATGCTGACCGTGCCTCGCCGTCTCCGAGAGTAGAATCTTCTGCCGCTTCTCCTCCATAAGGCGCTCACGGTGCTTGTGAATATAGTCATACACGTTTGGTAGACCCATGATGACGCAAGCGGACAACGCAGAACGGTAGATATTCATGTCCGTCGCCTCGTACCTGTAAAGGAACAATTAGTTGGTTTAATTTTTCTTACAAGTTTATGAATAACAATATATTTGTAATATTCTATTTTAAGATCTCAGATAATCATATAGTTGTAATCGATATATTTAGTAGTGAAAAATGCTCAAGCAAGCATAGTACGCAGCCATTTTACATCTAGAAGAGACTCATCTGAAAGAGACTTTCGACCACAATGGACTAGTTTCGGATTTGTGGAGTGTTGTCAATATTTTATTCATAGTTCAATACGGGTGTTATTGATGTTTATTCAAAAGAAACTGTATAGAGTTATTAAATCTGTAAATTTTAAAAGTTTATTCAATTAAATACAAAGCAAATAATTATTTTGCATTACTTATACATTAAAGTAATACAAAGTAAAGGGTATGAAAGTAAACACAAGTAAGACGAAGGTTATGGTTTTTTGAAAGAGAAGAAAGTAAGACGATATTATGTGAAATAACTTAGTTAAATAGATGAGTTTGTACATCTGGGCTGCGTATTTAGCGGGGATGGGAGATGTGATAAGAATATAGAACGACGAGTGAATGCAGGAAATGGAATAAAGTGGGGCCCTACACTCAATTGTGAAGAATCAAAATGTGTCGAAAAAGGCACGTATGGCAATTCACAATGCTGTGTTGGTCCCTACTTTAACGTATGGTAGTGAAAGTTGGGTGTGGCAGTAGAAGCACGAGAGTAGAATGAACGCAGTAGAAATGCGGTCGTTAAGGAGTATGTTAGGGCCGAATTTGAATGACAGGGCGAGAAATTGTATAATAAGAGAAGAGTGTGGTTTGCAAGATGATGTTGTGACCAGGATTAAGAAAGGAATGCTTCGCTGGTTTGAAAGAATGAATGAGGAAAGAGTGACAAAGAAAATTTATGTTGCAGAAGTGAATGGGAGAGTCGGAAAGGGACGTCCTAGGCGAAAATTTATCGACCAAGTTGGCGATTTATTGAAAACAGGCCAAATTAGGAGTACCCTTAACCGACGAGCATGTATGCGTAGGTATATAGATGTGAAGTAGGCGAGAGAGGTGTGTCAGGATCGTGCCAAATGCAAGTCTAGTCTCTGCCTACCCCTCTGGGGACAGGCGTGAGTGTTTTATGTTTATGTACTTATACATTAGTTATTAGTCACCTAGTAGATAAAAATACTCTAGGCTGATGCTCTCCAAGCTCTCCAAAGACTAGTCTATGGTCTTTCAAGCACAACGCGTGATCATGTCCGGCTATTAAAAGGAAAGTTAATTCCAAACCATTCATTAGTCTTCTCATCGTAGCACTCGACGTGGTATATGGTGGTGACGCCGTTGAAGCCACCGATCGCAAAGATCATATCGTCAATGACTTCAATAGCAAAGTTGCTGCGCGGATTGTACATATCTGGCACTGGGGCCCACGTGTTTGTTGCGGGGTCGTAGACTTCACCGCTGCACATACGCGAGATGCCATTGAAACCGCCTATTACGTAAATCTGCAACATAACGTACACAAAGGTAAAAGAATATATAAAAGGGTATAATGCCTTACGCTTAGCACACACTGCGATTAAACGCGAGTGTTTTAGGAATAGCGAAAACGCAAAACCGCGTACAATCACGCAGCGCGACTGGTGTTTTGCTTAATTGTATTTCCGTACCACCATGGATTTCTCGCGAGTAGCGTGTGTTGCGGTTTTTAAATTTAAAAAAAAAATAGAAAACGTAAACCTTCGTAATGCATCACATCTACTAACAGATAAAAGACATCTGAAAGGATATATTTGCTACTAACACCACAAATAACGACTGTCCTCTGCGCATAGAGCATCTTTTTATAACCAAAACCTCTGCGCTCATCTATGGTCGAGACTGAATAAAAAAGCAAACCCGGTTGGTGCCATACCATAGAATACATAATAGTACTAGCCATACTATTGCTATGAGACATATAAAAACATAATAGTACTAGCCATACTATTGCTACGGGACACATAAAATTCGCGCGCTTACAAACCGCGATCCAAATGTAAACTACGTTTTTAAAAATCAGTCACAGAAAAGTCGTTAATGCGTGCGCTTGTATAGAAAGCTGTGTGTTACAATTTTTTGCGGTTACAGACGTGCGGTTAAACGCGTGCTTTTATTCGCAGTGCGTGCTAAGCCTTATAGGGGAATATTTACCGTAGCTGCCTCGCTTGGCAAGCGGATTGGCAACCACCGTTTTTATTATTTCGACTTGTTGATGCTGCGGCCAATCTCCTGCTTGATCTCTCTCTATCACCTCTTACCTACACCTACAGGACGAAATAGGCTAGTGGACACACTTACGCTGCCGTTACACATCAGTACGCATCGTTATTAAGCTATTGCATAACTTTTATCGCGGGCTTTGAGCGCGGCGACCGAATCAAGAAATTCCGTAACGGCACCTCTACACGTTGGCCAACACAGTGGCGAATGTAGTGGCCAATAGCATTGGCCAACGTGTAGACGGAGTGTTTGGGCTTCATTGGTATATATTGGAACGATGGCCCGCAAGTTGGCGCGAGATCCGTGAGGTGTCGGTTTTTTACAAAAGATCAAAGGATTGTTGGCAGAGTTTGGTCGCCGCGTCCACACTACAAGCTCCCAGAGTGATTACACGCGTCTGATTTAAATTTTATATTCAAGCTTTGTAGGGTGGATGCCCCAATTACCAGACTTTTAGTACCAATTTCAACTTTAAACATTCCTACTACTTTAATTAGCGCGATTTAATTATTACTAAACATTTGTTTTAATCAATAAGCTATTTAACGAAAAAAAAATGAAAGTTTTTTTACTATCAGATTATTACGAGAACAATTTTAAAATGAAAAAAATGAAGCACGTCGTTTATACGTGGTAGAACCATGCAATTCAATTAGAAGTATAGTTGCAGCATGAAGGTCGGCTCGACCGGGAAAGGACCATGCTCTCACAGAATATCAGCGTAAAATAGTAGCTTAATGATGCTGTGTTTCGTATAGTGAGTGTAGAGAACCAGAGACCCTTTTTAAAGGAAACGAGGCATTTCATCTTAGTCTTCACGGGTGACAACGCATCTGCCTTTTGATTCGTAATCGAGGATAAATGTAGATATGTCTGTGGGCCACAGTAACCACTTACCATCAGGTGAACTGTGTGCTCGTTTGTCACCCTATCCTATAAAAAATGTCGATTTCTTATAATTTAATCGTGCAAGATTTCGAATCATCATCATCATTACAGCTGTTCACAAGTCCACTACTGAACATCCTCCTCCACAGACTGCCGCAAAGCATGGTCCTGAGCCACTTTGCTCGTCATGAGTTTTTCATTTATGTTCTAAGTTATAATTAGTACCTATTATTAAGTCAGTGTTATAGTCAGCAATGAGTGGCTGCGCCGGGCGCCGCGGGTTTGATCCCGCACGGAACAAGTATTTGTATGTCCTACAAATAATTGTTTCGGGTCTGGATGTGTGTCCTTGTGCAATTTATGTTTGTAAACTGCCTGCGTTATACGGGAGAAAATCCTAGTGTGGGGTTAACGTTTTTATAAAAGAATTATAAAATAATAGTGGTTATTAATGGGGCTGTAAATAGATATACGATATACGATTAGCTTTATTTATTCTTTACATGCATAATAAACTGGAATAAATACCACTAATAAGAACTTAACTTATTTTAAAGTTAAAGGAGTTATAATCGATTAGTCTATGTTTTAAAATTGGGTTTTGATTTTAAAGTTTAGCAAAATATGTACTTGCATTTCAATCAGACATTTGATGTATATAAAAAAAACCTTATAATTTATTTGGTAATTTAATTATTTTTTAAAAAGACAAAAACAATAGCAATAAATATAATTAACACTGACTTAATAATAGGAACTAATTATAAATTAGAACATAAATGAAAAACTCATAACGAGCAAAGTGGATCAGGACCATGCTTTGCGGCAGTCTGTGGAGGAGGATGTTCAGTAGTGGACTTGTGAAGAGCTGCAATGATGATGATGATTCGAAAACTTGCACGATTAAATTATAAGAAATCGACGTTATTTTATAGGATAGTGTGATAAACGAGCACACAGTTCACCTGATGGTAAGTGGTTACTGTGGCCCACAGACCTACATCTATCCTCGATTACGAATCAAAATGCAGATGCGTTGTCACCCGTGAGGACTAAGATGAAATGCCTCGTTTCCTTTAAAAAGGGTCTCTGGTTCTCTACACTCACTATACGAAACACAGCAGCATTAAGCTACTATTTTACGCTGATATTCTGTGAGAGCGTGGTCCTTCCCCGGTCGAGCCGACCTTCGTGCTGCAACTATACTTCTAATATATATGTAATATGTTCTAATATATCTATAATATGTAATAATGCATGGTTCTACCACGTATAAACGACGTGCTTCATTTTTTTTTTCATTTTAAAAGTGTTCTCGTAATAGATAGATAGATAGATAGATAATTCTTTATTGTACAACAAATCAATACATAAACGAAAGAAGAAAAAAAAAATAGTGTCACAATGGGTCACAGTGTCGTAATAATCTGATTGTAAAAAAATGTTAATTTTTTTTTGATAAATAGCTTGTTGATTAAAACAAATGTTCAATAATAATTAAATCGCGCTAATTAAAGTAGTAGGAATGTTTAAAGTTGAAATTGGCACTATTATATATTATAATTGGGGCATCCACCCTACAAAGCTTGAATATAAAATTTAAATCAGATTCGTGTAATCACTCTGGGAGCTTGTAGCAAACTAAACGCGCGGCCAACGTGTGGACGCGGCGACCAAACTCCGCCAACAATCCTTTGATCTTTTGTAAAAAACCGACACCACACGGATCTCACGCCAACTTGCGGGCCATCGTTCCAATACATACCAATGAAGCCCAAACACCCCGTCCTCACGTTGGCCAATGCTATTGGCCACTACATTCGCCACTGTGTTGGCCAACGTGTAGAGGCGCCGTAACGTCGTTGAAGTTCGGCAGACTTCGGCAAGGTGTTTGTTTGCGTGCGACTAGACGTATGCGTGTAGACTAGTTGCATGTATTATAATAATAAATTATTTTTAAACAATATTAACTTCTCATTTATTCAATAAAAGAAAAAAAATTGTTTTCATATCGGTCACCACGCTCAAAAAGTGTAACTTGAATTAATATCAAAGAAAAAAACAAAGAAAAAAAAATACTGCATCAATAAAATAAATAAATAATTATAATTGCATAAGTTGGTAAAAATGCTATGCAATAGCTTTACCGCGGCAGTCCCCGAGTACCACACATATTTCATATTATAATTGGGTATATAAGGAAATACCTTGAATATTATAAATAAATATGTAAGTAACATAAACTTAAAACAAGTATGAATAATTAGGAGACGCTCAAATTCATGTGTGGTTATATTTGAAACACACTATCGACACAAAGATAAAGCGATATATTAATAATTAAGAATTATTTTTAATCTTAACAGCTGTTTACACTATTAAGAATGGGAATGTTTCGATATGTTGATACTATGTTCATTCATTATTCCTGTAAACGCGCAAGCTAAAATGTCTGTAGTTTTACAATTATACCCATTTCCTCCCTGGAGTGTTGTAATAGACGAGTTTGGGAAACGCCGGGAATATCTCATTGCTTCCGATAACTGACGGTATTTACCATCATGTTTACACCAAATAATCAGATCGGGCAGCGGCAAAGATATGAGAACTCTATAGCGATCTAATGCTACAATCGCTTGCCAAACATGGCTGTTAAGACAAATCCTTCCCATGCATGGAAGAGTCCCATTTTCAGCAGTATACTTTTACGCGCCGTTGAAGCAGAATAACCTACATCAAACTCATGGGCATTTTAAATCCACTGCTTGATATTAACCTTATCAAGAATACGCCGGCTGGCATGACTTTCTTCTTAACCTTGCCGATACTGACCACAGTGGGCAGGCGTTGGGAACTAGTCCTAGTCCTAGATTATCGAGACTAAATAAAACCAGGCTGTATAATGAACACACCTAACTAAATCATACCTAACTAAACATCCATAGCTGTGAGTAGCTTCGAGACTATGCTCTCGCCTAAGTGCGCAAGCAACCTGAGTTTGATCTCCGCTGCACTAATGGAATTGTTAAAAAAAAATTTCATTTATCACGTTATCGGTGGCAAACTAAAACGTCATAAGTAACTGCTGAGAAATAAAATATTTTGAGAATTATAAAGTCAGTCAACACGCAGTGGAAAAACTGAGCGGAATAATTTCTCTATTGACGACTCCGTGGCGTAGTGGCTGGCAATAAGTTGCAGCGCAAAAAAAAAACTCTCAGAAATTAGGGTACGTACAAAATTTGTTATTTTAATATATCCGAATAAAGGTATTAAAAAGTAAGTTAATTAATTTACCAAATTATTAAAGTAAGCAAATTACAGTCAACCAAGTACAAAAAGTTAATACTTGTTATTTTTTAATATTTTGCTTTGTTTGAAAAATTCAAATTCAAATTAGTGATAAAAAACTATACACGTTGTAATGAAATATAGATAACTTTATAATTCTTCGGATTTACGTAAACGGTTATTTTAAATCGTGTGAGTACGCTTGTGCAAAGTTATTGCTGAATGATTAATGTGAAACGTCAAAAGTTATTTCTTAGATTTGGTTGACTATAATAAAAAATTGACAGATGTCTTAAAATTCACGTAAGATGACAATAACAACGGATGTACCTAGATACCTTGTTGTGGTACGCGATGCAGGAGACGCCGGAGCGACGCGAGCGCATCGGTGCCAGATTCGTCCACTGGTTGGTGTCCGGATCGTACACCTCCACGCTGTTCATGCACTCCTGTCCGTTGAACCCACCCGTTATGTATATCTTGTCTGAACGAGACGAAAACACGCAAAACATTCAATTTAATGTGTTTACAAATATGGGTACCGTACTTATACGAGTAAATAGTTCGAAATTATAAGCTGTAATGTTTCCCTTTTTTGTCTAGTTGAATTAAGTTGATAATTGAGCAGTTACCACCAGCATCAATAAATTAATAGCAAATTTATGAATATTAGTATAGTTTCAAAGGGTATACTGAGTAAATCCAGGTCGAAATTTCCCACGCTTAAGCTGTAATGTTTAATTCTGTGCGCACAAGTTGATAATTCCTGAGCACAGTTACCACCAGCATCAATTTAAAAATTAATATGCAAATGCTTGATGAATATGTTTAGTATAAGTCGTTTCACAAGATACGAGCATTAAATCACGCTGATAGGTCGACGACCCATTGTGTACAATTATAAGGCTGTATATGTTTAATTAAGTTGATAATTGAGCAGTTACCACCAGCATCAATAAATTAATAGCAAATTTATCAATATTAGTATAGTTTCAAAGCTTGGTCGATTTTTCATTTTCAGTTATTTATAATACTCGTATAATTATCAAAACTATTTTAATGAATTCCAGACCGAAATTTTGTCTCGGCGGTACGCATAACGGAGGCTAGTTATCCGAGCAGGATAGAACTATATTGCCCGAGTGTATGCGCAAACACAAGTGTACTCTTAATTCCCTCACTCTCATAGTCCGGATGGAAATCCGACACATCCTGAGAGCATTCAGAAAAATAATGGGATAAAAACGACCGCAAGAGTCTTTTTCCATGGTCTTCAACGGTACGAGCAGATCGTGAAAATAAAAAAAAAACTCACTGTCGAGTGCGGCGGCGCTCGCATCCGAACGCTGTGCGTTCATCGGCGCCACCAACGACCACTGGTTGGTACGGTGGTTGAAACGTTCCGCCGTGTTCTGTCGATGGTGACCGTCGTACCCGCCCATCGCGTATATTGTCTCGCCCAGAACAGCCACTGATACGTAGCAGCGACGCGCGTTCATCGGTGCAACCTGAGCAATTTTTGTCACCCATTGAAAGTTAGCACATACACTGTAGGACTGTAGCGTGCGTGTATTACCCGTCAAGTCGTGAATCCTAGATTCGAATTTTAGCCCAACACACAGTGTATTGAATTAGAACAAAGAAAATGTTTAAAAGAAATCAAAATCAACAGTTCTCAAGCACTTAAGTGCTAAGATACCTACTGTTTAATATATTATTAAAATAAAAGCTACTTTATTCCATTTAGGATTTGAATTATATTTTACTTTTCGTTAAAAGCTTTATTTTTTTTTAATAGGAAGCAATTTTTAATATAAAACTTTTAATAATAGAGAAAATAAAAACTTTGTTATTATTCCCCTATTTTTCTATCATTCAGGGTGGAATTTTTTCTTCATGGAATTTTTTCTTCATGTTCAACCCCGTTTCCAAAAAATCTGTGTACATACATAAAAGCATACACGTCGTATAAAAAACCTTTTTTCAAATCGGTAAAAAAACAATAGAGAGCGTACCTCCCGCCAAGTTTTGTTTACAGCGTCGAAACATCGGCACGAGTTGAAATAGTCCATGCCGTCGAAGCCGCCGATGACGTAGATGCAGTAGCCGAGTACAGCAGTGCCGTGATATGCTCGTGGTCCAGCTGGGTCAACCTCTTCTACCTAAGACATGTTACCAACAATAAAGGACAGCTTATTTCCTACTGTCGCTATCTATTTACTGTATATTGACGGTGTATGAGATTCGAAACAAATGACGTGGTAGAGCCACGCTGCAGCTTTAATATGGTTGTAGCACAAATGGGTCGGCTCGACCGGGGAAGGACCACGCTCTCACAGAAAACCAGCGGAAAATAACAGCTTAATGCTGCTGTGCTTTGTATGGTGAATGCAGAGAACCGGCGACCCTTTTTACTGGAAACGAGGCATTCCCGTTCCCATCTTAGGCCTCAGGGGTGATAACGAATCTGAATTTTGATTCTTAATTGAGAATAAATGTTAGATGTCTTAAAAAGCACATGTCCATCCTGGGACTAAGCAACTCAAGGATGTGTCGGTTCTGTTCCATAACGGAAGAAACGCCTCAACACATCCTAACTGATTGCGGACTCTTAATGTGCAAACGTAACACTCGTCTGGGAAAATATGTACTCCGCCCAGAAGGAGTGAAATTACTCATGCCTAAGCAACTCCTATTCATTGAAGACATAGGGCTTAGCCGTGAACTATAGCGATAGCAGCGATCACAATAGATCTTATAGGTCGCAGTGGTACTGGTCTTTTTCCCTAGACCTGCATAGCTGCTCGCACTTAATTAAAAAAAATGTCTACGAGCCACAGCATCCACTTAACATCAGGTGGACTGCGTGCTTGTTTGTCACCCTTATTCTATAAAAAAAGTGTCATAGCCACCTATGGCGTAATCCAGAATTCTTATACCCTTCACTACATGGTCCATGGTTTAATATTATACACGTCAGATATAAAATACCCAAACGGGCTCAAACCTGCCAGACGTTTGGTACTACGATCATGAATACACCTGCAAAATGTAGGCATATATGACATATGTCCCACACTGAGGAAAGGTCTCATGTCAAGTACAAAATTACTATCGGCGATATTATGAACGACAAGGCGCGTCTACATACTACATATATTATATTAATTAGTAAATATTTTAATTCTAAAATAAATTTAAAATCAAAATGAAGTTTCAACAATCGCAAGTATAAATTATATGAATCGGATTGACAGATTGACACACATGAAATAATAATTGAAAGAATTACATTGTAGAAAAAGTGAATGAGGAAAGAGTGACAAAGCAAATTTATGTTGCAGAAGTGAATGGAAAGTGAACGGGACGCTCTAGGAGAAGGTTAATCGACCAAATTGGCAATATATTGAAAATGGGCCAAATTAAGAGTACCCTTAACCGAAGAGCATGTATGCGAAGGTATATGGATGTAGAGGAGGCGAGAGGGGTGTGTCAGGATAGTGACAAATGGAAGTCTGTAGTCTCTGGCTACCCCTCTGGGTGACAGGCGTGAGTGTTTATGTTTACATTTTAAAATTTAAATGAAACAAACATATTTGTCCACCTACGTCTCAAAAATAAAAAAACCGCTTTTATTCCATTGAAGTACAAGAAACAGTATCAAACAAGTGCACACCTGATGTTAAGTGGATGCTATAGCCCAAAGGCACATATTTAATATTATTATTTAAATCAAAATTAAAACCTGTTGTCACTCTAACAACCAAGATAAAATGCAACCTTTACTATTTAAAAGATTGCGGTTCTCTTCACTGGTACTATGTGATGAAAAGGTGTCTATTCTGGAGTCGATTCGTTCTTCAAATTTAAATCTCTTTAAAAAACATGTGTCCAGTCCACACACGATAGAAGCTATACTTTCAAATGAAATGAAGTATAAACCAAAAATATTTCACAGCAAATGATTTATTTCATTAATTTTATAGCAAATAAATATTACAATCCTACCATATTTTTAAGACCCATTTAAATGATGCAATTTTCTTGCATAGAAACAGAAAGTTATTTTTAATCAATATAGATTATAAATACTTATTGAAAGTTACTTTTTTTTAATTTACCACTGATTCAGGAAAAAAACATAAGCTGAGTAGAGGACACACACAAATATCGGTTAATACAATATACACGCCTCTGTCTCAATCTGGTTGTCCTATACAAAAATTATAAAATCGGACTGTTAGTTCTAGAGATTAGCATGTTTAAACAAGCAAATAAACCTCTTCCGCTTTATTAAAAAAGGTATACCAGCCGAAACTCGCTCGCTTGGGTGAGCGTACGATATTATTTTACTGCGGCACCTAGATGTAAAATATCAACATTTTTTATGGGACTCTCGTGAAATTCGTTCTTAGTGGGCGACACACACACACATTTTATATATATATATATATATATATATATATATATATATATATATATATATATATATATATATGAGACTTTGCCCTCCGGTTTACTCCAACAAAAATGCTCCCTGGCAAAAAAACTCTCAAGTTGGACCAAACTGCACACGGTGTGCAAATTTCATTAAAATCGGTTAAGTATTTTGGGAATCCATCGCGGACAAACAACGTGACACGTAATTTATATATACATATCATTCCCTCGTAGGTCTATCATATAGATTTATTTATAATTCACACCGATGGTAAAGAAGTTTACACTTTTTTTTCTTTACATAGTAGCTACCTTAATCCATCGATCAGCACGAGTGTCGTAGGTTTCAATAAATGCGGTTGGCGATCCACCGCTCCATCCTCCAATGGCAAACAGCACCTACAGCCCAAAGCAGTGAAATTTTATACATAATAATTTTACTGGGAGATGTTAACTAAATGCCAAAGCCATTTAAATATAACAATAGAATTCGGGCATTAACTACTAATAACTAATACGAAAATTTATATTTAATGTATGCAGCGTAAAAGCAAAATTTAAATTTCTACCTCATGAGGGACTCTTGGTCGAGCTATCTCTGGTGTGGCGACTTCTCCATCTCTCTGAGCAATCATTTCCAAATCGTATAGAAACTTTAGGGTTTCTATGATAATTGGTCGCGAACCCTCGTTGCTGGTGACGTATGGATGGTCTTTCACGTTCTCTAGAAAAAACTAAAAACAAAATGTATCTAGAAACTCATCAACAGCCCACGTTAGTCACTACTGGAAATAGGTCTGAATTGTCGCATGCAGTCTTGGATCTAACGTGTATAATTACTTCCAGCCAACTTGCACACATCGTCGTGTCCTCTAGCTAAAAACGTCCCCAAGTGTGATATTCTATAGCAGGCCTTCACTCAAAGCCTCGCTTATTCCACCACTCTTGCGACAGAAGTGACCAGAACATTTCCACTTATCTCACAAAATCTGAAAGCTATCTCGATCACCCTGATTTTAAGAATTATTCACTTAGAATAAATTAACAAATAGGTATTTATAAATGTACTTACTTGTGTATCTAATAGTCCCAAACGTATACTGCCCATTAGCTTAACGGTATGCTGCCAGCGCTCATCAGAATCAAAGTTGACCCATCGGAGCACAGCATCCCACACAACTTCTTCGCTCTTTACGTTCAGTTCATCTTCCAGTATGATGGCATTGAGCTCGTCAAGTGGCAGGTGAAGGAATTCGTCACTCTGAGTTGCAACTTTCACAAAATACCGTAAAAGGTAGCGCCGGGCGTCAGCTTCCAGTTTGTAACAGAACACCCGTCTGTAAAAGTTTATTTTAGATTAAAGTACTTGTAAGAGAGCCAAAGGCCACCTGACGGTAAGACGCTTAAACGGTCATAACCAGGGAACTCTTCTTTCTAGCAAGGAGACATTTCGTCTTACTGGTGAAAGGTGTCAACGAATCTGCGTTTTATTGGAGTGAAAAATCTTTCAGAATCTCCCATGGAACTCCTATCTCCCAATCTGATATCTTCCTAGAGAGTAAAGGAGGGAAACGTAGCGAAAACATAAGGTCGAAATTACCACTCTATGCTCAGCGGGAAAGAAAAGATAACTCGTTAGATACATTTATTCGTAAATATAGTTTTCTTACTGGACCTATATCCGGCAATGTGAACTATTACTTTATTGATATTAAATCCTACCGGCAGAAATCCTACTCTATCACAACACTAGATGTCTTGCACCTTTGACGCCCCTTCTTCATCCACCGTCGTCAACTTTTACAGAGGTGTCCGTTAACAAAAATTTTAGTCCACTGTCTAAGTTTAGTAATAAATAAAAGGGGATCCGCTGTAAATGTGCCTTTCAGATTCCTTAGATAAAAGACATAAATATAAACACTCACGCCTGTCACCCAGAGGGGTAGGCAGAGACTACGGACTTCCATTTGGCACGATCCTGACATACCTCTTTCGCCTCCTTTACATCCATATATCTACGCATACATGCTCGTCGGTTAAGGGTACTTCTAACGTGGCCCATTTTCAAAATATCGCCAATTTGGTCGATAAACTTTTTCCTAGGGCGTCCCTTCCCGACTCGGCCATTCACATCTGCCATATAAATTTGCTTTGTCACTCTTTCCTCATTCATTCTTTCTACGTGACCAAACCACCGAAGCATTCCTTTCTTAATCCTGGTCACAACATCATCTTGCATACCACATTTATCTCTTATCACGCAATTTCTCACCCTGTCATTCAGATTACACCCTAGCATATTCCTTAAAGACCGCATTTCTACAGCATTTATTTTACTTTCGTGCTTCTTCTGCCACACCCAGCTTTCACTACCATACATTAAAGTAGGGACTAACACAGCATTATGAATTACCATACGTGCCTGTTTTGACAAATTCTGGTTCTTCATAATAGAGTGTAAATGTGCCCCATTCCTCTGATCCCTTAGATAAAAGAGTTTGCAGAAATCGCCGTCTTTGGTAGGGGAATCATAGTACTAAATCTTTACGACTGACACCATCCTCCGTTGCTAACCTGGGTATTTCTTGAATTATACGAAGTAGTATAAGTATCGATATTTACCGGAGGCCATGAGTGCTTGGATGGTTCACGTACATCGTCACCCCACAGCAAACTACATACTAAACAGCCAAAGTACATATTAAAAAGACTATTTAAGACGGCTTTTTATTCGTGATTAGAGAAAAAAAAAATACGAGACACTAAGAGGTGATCACAAGGAGATGCAATCATTCGAGCCTACCAGAAGTGGCGAAGCAAACCTTAGCAAATTAAATTTTCTTAATAACTAATGAAACTCTCTTATATTTAGTGTTTTTTTACAAGAGCACTAACCTGGCAAACATCATTATTCCTAAACAGTTTCTCGGATTGAGTGAGGCACGAAGATGGTCGCAACACAACTGCAGCACGCCGAGGAAAGCGAGGTAGTCAGCAGTCATAAGAAGCTCGTGCACATTCGCGTCCGTCACGTCAATGCGCCGCAGATATGCGTACTCGATCAGAAGCAGCAGAATCTCGGAGCGCACGCCCGATATCAACACGTCACTTTGTTCACGGGAGTGCAAGGTGGTTGTAAATAGTGCCCTGTTTTAAAAATATCATTAAATGACTAATAATAAAATAATTTCAAGCTATTGGACTGGTAAGGATGCGGTATTAACATCAATGGCGAGTACATCACTCACCTTCAGTTTGTCGACGATATAGTCCTTATGGCCGAATCGCTGGAGAACCTACGCACTATGCTTAAAGTGTACTACGGATAGGTATTGTAAATGGAAGGCATGTGTAACGTTCATGTCGCACCTACACCACCTACGCCGAAAGTTGTTGGAAGCACTACGCTCAAAGATGTCGACGAGTATGTTTACTCAGGACAAACAATCCGACTAGGTTAGTCCAAGTGTGACCGAGAGATCGATCGATGGATTCAAGTCGGCTGAGCAGCTAAACCCAACTTTTTATAACAGTTTTAGAGAACAATAAAATTAGTGCAAGGGGAACGTCTTTATGCTTATTTGGACTTACCAGGCTGTTAATGTTGTTGTAATGTTGTAATAAATAGTTATTGGGTTATTCTGTCCAGTAATTTTCAGCAGCATCCTGGAGTTAGAGGACTTAAAGCGTTGGTCCTACGTTGATCTCTCTCTGACCGTATCGGATTGCCGTCCCATTGGATTATGAGAATATGGAAATAGAGAGTGCACCTGTTCTTGCGCTTACACTTGGACACTATAATCCTGTCCAGTCCACATGGTTAGACTTGATTAAGACTGGCCGCCGTGACCAAAATTCAGTTTGGAAGACATTATTATTAATGTTGTAACCTGATATAACTACGGTTACGCTTTACATGGATACTCACAAGAAGTAAGGGCTACAGGCAGAGAGTATGGCGCGGTGGACTGGGAAGGCGGCGCCGTCGTCCGCGCGCACCACGGCGTCGCATAATAGCCGGCATTCGCGCAGCCGGTGCAGCGCCTGCATCGCCGCTACCGACATGCACCGCCCGGTCTCGCGACCCGCCGTCTGAATACACAGACATGCCTACGTTTTACTAAGACAGTAACTCTTTTTTTATAGTATAAGGGTGACAAACGAGCACACAGCCAACCCACAGTAAGTGAATGTAGTGGCCCATAGATATCTACATTTATCTCCAATTAAGAATCAAAATACAGATGCGTTGTCACCACTGAGGACTAAGATAGTACGCTTCGATTCCAGTAAAAGGTGTCTCCAGTTCTCTACACTCACTATAAGAAAAACAGCAGCATTAATCTGCTATTTTACGCTGGTAAAATAGCAGATTAATCAGTCCCAGTCGAGCCAACACAATCATGTTACAATCATAATATAACTGCAGCGTGGCTCTACCACGTGGAGAAAAAACTCTAACTACTAGTGAAAAAAGTTCAAACATAAATAATAAAAGTTTATTCGTAATGTGACGAAGTAACAGAAAACAACGCGACGGATCATATTTTTCTAATAAAACCAGAGTGAAGATCCATTACAATAAGTGGCTTTTGTAATCTTTTAACATCTGTACTAAGAAAGTAACAGATGTATTGATTCCCCTGAGGAATAAGTTAAAATGCCTAATACCCTGGTATTAACCTGGCTCCATTACCCTTCCAAACATAGCAGTGGGTGCACTGCCGCTTGCCAGACATTCGTAGGATGTTACCGACCCAGAAGAGCAAAACAAAACCGAAAAGGAGCCTAGTAGAGACTTTAAAAATCAAAATATTTGTTGGTACTCAATTATTTGACGATCGAGTAGCCGAGTAATCAAAGTATCAGGATATCATGGATATCAGGATAACAAGACATCATACTGTTACGAGCTTGAGATTCGTGACAATAAAAACTGTCGATTGAATTACCAAAATTTACACTTTTATTACCGAACACCAATTAAAACTTTAAACACTAATAATTAATCACACTGATTCACTTTATTTCGCTTCGAAACTTCGCTTGTCTCGCTAAATTCAATACTGCCCCGATCGCAGCATGCAGCGGGTTTAAATACACATTTACGCCGAAACATCCAGAATATTCCCGTAGATATGGTCGCCGACCGACCAGACGCAGAAAGTTCGAGTGTGAGGCTTCTAGAAAACTTAGTTCTTCAATTTGATTCTAGATGGCGCTGTTGGTTAAAGGATTAGTCATGTCATTTTCTGGAAAGCTCTCCTCGCTCTGTTACCCGACACTAGATGGCGCTAGTGCCAGACGTCAACTTAGGCGCGCAACACTGCGCCTCCTAAGACATGCTCGTCCCGAGCATTATCGGCCCCATAATAACGCACCAGGCGATCTACATGGACGATCTTAGGAGTCTCTCTTGCGCTTTTCTGTATCCGGTAGGTTACATTGTTGATCCTGGTCACAATTTGGTACGGGCCGTCCCATTTAGCTTGAAGCTTAGGAGATTTCCCTTGCTGCGGACTGGATTGTGCAACCACACTAGTGAACCTTCGTCGAACCCTTTTTTGTTCATTTTGCGGTCATACCGGGTTTTCATCTTTTCAGACATTTGCTGGCCCGATTGTCTGACGTGCTCATAAATGTCATTCTTCAAGTCATTTGCATAATCGGTTATACTGCGTGGGGCATCCGGTGGTATCCCGGTGATCAGGTCTGCAGGCAGCCGTAATTCTCTTCCAAACTTTGCACTATATAAGGATACCAGCACATATTTAGCAATACAAGAGCAATAATTTAAGAGAGGTTTTATAAAAGCCTTCTTCCAAAGATTTGGATTCTGACCTGAATCAAGGGAAAAATTGATAATATGGGAAGTTACCGGAACAAGGTTCTCTAGTATAAATACTTACATGTGTCTATTAATCTCGACATAACGCACCGCCTTGGACTGGATTGCTAAATTAGACTTTTTGACATCATCCTGAGAAACAGGAGAAAAATTAAAGGTAGGAATGTTAAGAGTTTGAACAGAAGCAATAGAAGCCATAGTTTGGGAGCGAATTGTAGGGTCCAATATTTTTACAGAAGCGAAATGTTGGTTGATTTCATCGAGTGATAGAGAAGAACCACAATCGAATGTAGCTGGCCTGCAAAGACCAAAAGATCTGAGAAATTTCCGATCTACAGCTGGAGAAGAGTTATTAATACAATTATGGAAATGTCGGGGTTTAGCTGCATTTACCATCTCATTACATCTATTCCTGGCTGCTTTAAAAGACAACCAATTTTCTTCAATGCGATCTCTCTTTAAATTACGCCCTCTGCCAATCTAACCTTGTGAACTGGAGCATGAGCATCATAAAGGCTGAAAACGGATTTAGAATAGAGACTGTATGTAATTAAAGAGGCAAGATCGAGATTAAGAGTGTCATTCTTAAGCCTGGCAAAGTCAATTTTAGAAAAGCTGCGGAGATGCATTACAGTTTTTGTCTCTGTCCTTCTCCTAGTTTTTGTTTGATAGGGCGGCAAAGCTTAAGGTGACCATATTACCCTCAAGTTCTATATTATAAGCCAGTGCTATCCCACCTGATAAGTAGTGCAGCCGAAGATGGTAAAGCACATTCACTTATGTTAACAAAGGCTTATTCACAATTGCCTTGATGATATCCACATTGCCATCAGATACAAATACAGATTGAATAAAACTAAATTTACGGATCCTATCGCGTTTAATTAATTACTTTTACATATTTTTAATTCCCGACGTTTCGGGTGCTTTACAGCACCCATGGTCACGGGGGGGATTGAGATGTTTGACGTCCCAATGTCATTGTTAGCCCGGCTACCTTCAGTTTTTAAGGTTCCGTAGTCAACTAGGAACCTTATAGTTTCGCCATGTCTGTCTGTTCGTCTGTCCGTCCTCGCTTAATCTCTGTGACCGTTAGCACTAGAAAGCTGAAATTGGTCTTTGCAGGCAAAAAAAATTGAATGTGGTCTCTCTTACATAGTTCAAACAAAAAGATCCATAAAAACCCGCGTGAAAGAGCATATAGATGACGTGAAGCACCGACGCTCCGGGAAGTCTGCAGTCTGTGAACATATTCAAGATCGTCCCCACCATTACATCAGATTTGATAAACGACATATCCTCGCAAAAGAACACCGATTCCTACCAAGGATGATACGCGACGCTATTGAAATGAAAAAACATCCTAATTTCAATAGAGAAGATGGTTGGGTGCTGCCATCTGCTTGGGATCCTATAATTAACAAAATTAAACCCAAACCCAAGCATACCACTGCAAGACTTCAAGATACTGCATACCACTGCAAGACTTCAAGATACTTTAAGCTCGTTTTGCGTAAATCGGACCAAAAATTAATATTCAAAAACTGAAGGAAGCCGGGCTAACAATGACATTGGGACGTCAAACATCTCAGTCCCCCCCGTGAACATGGGTGCTGTAAAGCACCCGAAACGTCGGGAATTAAAAATATGTAAAAGTAATTAATTAAACGCGATAGAATCTGTAAATTTAGTTTTATTCAATGTGTAGTGTTCGCGTAAATTTAAGAAATCATTATACAAATACAGATACTGGAAATCTTACGGGATACATAAACAAGCTTGTTTATATATACTCTAAGCTGGAAATTTATTCCACTCCGTTCGGTTTGAATACGTGTTTAGCCGACAACGAAGGGGTGATGACTGACCGAGCATCTGCTTGTCGGATGGTGGAAGAAGGAGGGAGAAATTTAGTTAAGCATTCTAGGCACACTCTCCGAAATGTATATTATGTAGAGCAAAGAACGGCAATTTTGCGCCCGTATTCGATATCGGATTTCCAAACCCACTTCCCGGACCAGATTCGGGTCAGCAATAATCTTCGTAGTCCGCTTTTTCATTGAGTTCAAAGCTGTTAGGTAGCATTTTGCAGTAGTAGCCACACTCCATGCACGACTGAACTTGCGCTTTATATAGAGTAAACAGCTGTTCCAGTGTGAAGTACCGATGCATCTTTGCAAAGACACCTAACTTCCTTGCAGCTGATTTAGCATATTAATTAATTCTTTACTTATGAATCAAAATTACTCATATTCATAATAAAATAATAATCGCCTCCAGACCAAATATCAGTCATGACGGCCTGCCTCAACAGAGACCAGCTATCGGCGCAGAACAGGAATATAGTGCCCAAATGTACATGCACAAGCACAAATGCACTCTCTACTCCCTAACACTCATAGCCCGATGGGACGGTAAACTGATACGACTGGAGAGAGATCAGGCGCACGACCAACTACTTTACGTGCTTTCCGAGGCACGGCGGGCAGACACCTCCAAGTTCCTGACTTCGGGCAGCTATTGAGAATTTCTTGACGGAATGACTGCCCCGTCGGTCTAGTAGTTATAAACGCGCTGCTGATAATTCGAATCCGTCGAATCGAAACATCAGTTACCTCAATAATTGATTTTTTTTGGCCCGACCCAGGATTCGAATTATCAGCAGCGCGTTTACAACTACTAGACCAACGGGGCAGTCATTCATAATATGTGTACCTACTAAACCTAGGTTGGTACAGAGCCTAAAAAGAAGACCACTAAATTTGAACCGGCGCCGTTGTGGAGTTATATTCCATATGATAAAAATGTAAATTGTAGGTGCCTGCACATTTATAAAAAGCCCGGAGTCAATCAGGAGTGAAACTCGTTGTGCTACCTACCGGGAAGGGCAGAATAAGTGACCCCGCGGCTCGTGTGGTGAACAACACAATCAGCCGACACAACTTAGGTTACTACTCTTGTATAGGAAAGTTTATTCTTTGAAATTCTATAACACAAGAGCGTTTATTTGTCATGCACACAGAACGTCTAAAAACTAAGTCCTAAAACTGCTAGAGTTTTAAAAACGCTATTATATTTTAAAGAGAATTATATTCTAGGGAAGCAAGACGAGCTTTTGTATTGGATACTTTTGTTACAACTATTTACTTACAGTGTTATTCGGGTCGGGATCCATATTTAAAGTCTCTAACGCATAGTCATTATTAAAAATTATCACGCGTTAAAAAAAATCTTAAAACGCAAA